TTTGCAATACGTCGTCATTGTGTAGAGATCCTTGTCGGCCGTGGCTGCGATCTTGACCACCTCATCAACAGCTCTCCAGCCTCGCCCTCAACTCACACCAACTTACACTGAGCTCACCACAACGCAACCTCGGCGAACCTCCTAACTCGACAATACCGGCACAAGCTCATAGACACAAGCCATGAATGAGGATTCCTCCCATGACATGTCACTACTCCTACTCACACGAAACCGTAGTCATCGCCAAAAAGCACCGCGCCGCGCCAACCCACCGGCGTCCAAGAAACCAAGCAAACAAAGTCCCCGTCTACAGCATCTCGATCAGATGGCAGCAACCCCGATCTTCAAAAGCCTCAAACGCAAAAAAATAAAAAAATAAAATAAAAAGACAACACCCGTTGTTGCGAGCGCACACGGGCGGTCTCCACTCCCACTTCTGCCCGCTCGCGGAGGTCACCCCGGCCAAATGGAGTAAACCGAGCCGCCGTCGCCCGTCGCCGTGTGGGTGAGAGAATGAGCCTCCCGTCCGTCGGAGTCCGCCTTGACCTGTGAGTGAGCAAGGTAGAAACAAAACGTTGACCACGACGTACGCCCTCCCCACCATCATGACAAACCTCAGGGAAACTGTAAATCCGTGCGGTGCGGCGCCGACATTCAGGTCCCTGTCGGCAACCCACTGCCTCCCTCCCTCCCTCCATCATCTCATCAATGTCGCCAGCGAAAGCTGGTGGTCGGAAACGGTGGAGGTGGAGGCTTACCTCATGATGGATGGGGTGTGTATGTGTGTGAGTAGAGCCTCCATGGGTGTGACGGACACGTCTATTGTCTGAGTGGTCCAAAGTCTGGGGAAAGGGAGGTGCCGACAGGTCTCTTACTCCCGCTTAACCGCCGGCGCCTGGAGGGCTGTCTGGGACTCGGGCCCGGGGTCGGGGAGGGTAAGGCTGAGTCTGAACGGCCCCTTGGAGAGACTCTGGGGAAGCCTGAGGGTAGGATGAGGAAGGACGGACCACGTCGGTTTCGTAGAAGGTTGAAACAACGACGCCGTCTCTGGTACCCAGGCAGAGCCTCAGAGGGCGTGGCTCCTAGAGTCGGCTGCGGCCGGTTTCGCGGGCCCAAGAGTGTCCAGCGCTGGATGGGCGTAGGGGAGGCTCTCCGTCTCTCGAATGAACAGACAGACAGACGGACGGACAGGCCATGGGCTCGTCAGGCTCATGACTAAGGTAGGGGTCTGGAAGTGCCGAGTTTATGGTGTGACTTGCGTGCTTAAGCCCGCTGGAGTCGGCGATTAGAAACAGTGAAGTCGGCAGTCCCAGACAGTCGGCACCCTCTTTGGGTAACTGAGGGAGAAGAGCACGGACGAACAACTGTTAATGGGAAGGTCGATGTGCTGTTGTACGAATAAACACCAGAGGGTAGGGTGTGGATGGTGTGAATGGTATAAGTCGGGGGAGCCCCTGTCGAGGGCCGTGCGACGAGTTGCTGCTGGACGCACGTACGACGTTGCCTATCACTGGGACCTGGGGGAGTGCTGAGCACAGAGCGTAGAGAGGGCAAGAAGAGTGCATGAAGAGAAGCTCGGACAAGTTGAAATGGCACATCGCCGACAGCTCTGAGACTGGATCCTTGCTTAACGGCGATGGGATCGTGAGATGCGGCGGTTGAACGGCAGAGAGGAACACACTGCAGAGAAACGCAACAAGACAAGGCGGGCGCATGAGCCACGCGGTGATCTGGTAGTGTAGTCTTTTTTTGTCCAACGACAAACGCAAACGCCCTTTTTCACTTGCGTTGCAGTCTCAGTCAAAGGTATCTGATGATGCATACACGCCTTGCCACCCCATCCTTGAAACCATCCCATTCATTTTCCGAGAGAGAGACACCTCCGCTCTCTTCCTCTATTGCCCAAGAAACCAAACGCGTCCGCGTACCATCTCGTAAGGAAACAAATTTCCTCCCCGCAGACGGCCACTTAACCTTAACACCGTCCCGGGGCCACCAAACGTCGGGGACCGCGACAGAGACACGTCCCAACTTTGTCCCGTCCGTCCATGGACGACACGCCCCTCCCCTTCACCTTTCGGAAGACGGACATCCACACCTGACGCTTAATCCTGAATCTGGAGTTCGTCCATGTCGTCAAGCAGTTCATCCATGTCCACCCTCGGAGCACCCTCGTCGCCCTCGGTCTCGGCGATGCTCATGGCGTCCGGATCGATGTTCTGCGGCTGTTGTGACTTGTACAGCGCCATCGTCGCGCGCAGCTCGTCGTCCTCCTCGACGTCGCGCAAGAATTGCTCGTAGTCCTCGTTCATGCGGTCCTGGTCAGCCTGCTTGGGCAGCAGCTCACCCTCGTCCTTGGCCATGCGCTTGAGCTTCCAGTTACGGTTCTTGTGCTTTCTTCTGTTGGGGTAGTGTTTCTTGACGAGGATGACGTCGGGTATCGTCGAGCCGTAGGCGTGCGACTCTTCAATGGCGTCAAACTCCTCGTTGTTGAAGTTGGTGCCCGTGAGCATGTAGCCCAAGACCGAGTCGCCGGCGTGCAGCAGGCCGCCCAAGTGCGTTCTCGCAAAGTAGGTCTTGTCGTTTGAGCCCAGGTCGGAGGCACGGGCTACTTGCACCTCTGCGAGATGCCACTTGCCCTTTGTGATGCCCGTCGGCTCGATGTCCATGACGATAAACTCAACGAGTGACTTGACGTCGGCGAGGGAACGGAACGGTGCACGCCAGTAGATAGGAGCGCTGACATCTGCGGTCTGAAGGGTGTTGGGGTCGAAAAGGTATACTGCGGTTCCGATCTTATGGCAAATGACGAGGGGGGAAATGTTGCCGGATGCTCGGGCCAGCTTGATGGGCAGAGCCACAAGATCGTCACGGCAAATAGGAATCAGTTCGACTGAAAAGGTGAACTTGAAAGATTTTGTCGATGTGTGGATATCCTGCGAGATGAGCTCCTGCGACTTCTTGACCGTGCAAGGCACAACGGAGTTGAGGAAATCACAGAACTTTTCAGCCTGATTCCTCGCCGAAAAGAAGAAATCGATTCCGTCCTTTGCTTCCTTAATGTTGAGGGTATCTCTGTGTGCGCCGTGCTTCATAATCAACTGCTCGAGGTAGAGGAACGTCCTCTTATGCAGGACCTTTTGCCGGACCTGGACGGAGGCGCGCCACACGTTGGCCGTGTAGGACTTTGCGCAGTCGGGACATTGCTGGTATGCGACGATGTAAACCGCCTCAAAGGCCTGCTGGAGAAGGACGCCGCTCTGGACCTCGTCCTGGATCGTAATCTTGACCTTGACTCGTCTCGAATGGGGTTCCGTCCACACAAAGGAGGCGTCGATGATGCGTATCTTGTTCAGGCCCTTGAGCTTCTTGAGGCAGAGGGCGAGGAGTTCGCGGGACTCGGGGGCGGCGACGATCCAACTGCTGGGCGGCAGCAGCCAGCGCTCGCAGTCTCTGCAGTAGTTGAGGGTGGCTTCGCGCTGGACGCCCTGGGAGATGTCGACAGTCAACTTGATGCAGTCGAAGCAGAGCGCGTTGGCGGCGGTCGTTCCGTCGATGGGAGCGCCGCAGTTGCAGCAGAGAATCGTGGCGTGGGTGCTATTCATATTCATTTTGGCGTCTCTTTTTGCCCTCACTGCCTAAGTCCTTGTCGATGTCGAGGAGGGAAAAGGTTTGGGAAAATGAGGCGACAAGGGGCTCTCTTGGGCAATTTGGGCTCGGTGTATGGCGGGGTTGTTCATCGAGGGGGAAAAAAAAATCATGAACCCCGGCCGATAAGACGAGCGCGGGGCTTATCAATAGAGTCACATGATAATGACGCCGCTAGTGGCGGGGTTTCGCCCAGCTTCGAGTCACATTAGTAATCACAACTAACACCAGCATCCAGTCGTGCATTCTATCATCTAAATACCTAAAATCAGAGGGAGTCCCGCCCCGGGGAAAACGGCAGCTGGGCACGGAATTCGAATACTTTAGTCAAAGACTGTGTCAATAAATCACTTTTGTGACTCATCGTTGGCTCAATAGCTTGGCACCTCCTCCCAGGTCGGCATTGTCGGCCATGTCGATGTTCAAGAGGCTTCCTCAAGGTGGTAATTTGCTACATTTGCGTGAAGAGAGACTAATAAAAGGCCCACCCTTGGCACATCGGTTTTCACGAAATGAATTGCGGCCATTCTGGCTCAAGCTAGCCGAGACGCCATGGTTGCAGCATAAGTAGGATCTATGTTAACAGCAGTATCGGACAATCAATAGATAATATAGGAGTCAGGACACTTCACTTAGACCTCTGCATGTATCAAGGCTGTTGTAAGAGTTTTCGCCTGCCTCACTATAAATAGGACAGTAGAGAGAGACAGAAGGAAGGGAACAGCACGAACTGTGTGGATTCGTCGTCTGATTCGGCCAAGCCTTCGTAAATGCTTTCATGCACGGGGGCAGGCTCGTAGATGTCAAGCCCCTGAATGGGAACCTCTTTCTAGATACTCGGAACTGTGTCTTGAAGATTATCCATCACTTCTGACTCTTAGCGGGCCAGTCTACTAGTATAAATAAACAGCCGAGGATGACCTGGGGAGCAACGAGACTACTTTTAGGCCTATCGTAGTTCTGCGAACCCATTTCATCGACTTCCGGGATCTACAGCTGCTATAACCGCCGCGTCAGTCAGCCTGTAGATTTCTCGCGCACACCCCCTCCGTCTATTGTCTGTGGTAGCGAAAGGAGAATAATCGTGAGGGGCGATCCGTCATTTATAACCAAGTTACTCAAACATTCGAAATTGCAGCTCGGAACTTTTGGCATCATCAACATGGCTGGGAATTCTGGTGTAGTATGAGTGGCATCATCCGTGATCCAAGATTCTCGCTTAGTCTAAGAACACATCACCGCAGGTCTCCAACTTCCACAAAACCTTCAAATCGCAAAGAATCTATTTTTTCTCTCTCAAGGGTATACCTACAGAAGGTTTCAGATCATAAACTCGTTAGAAATGGTCATCTCTACGCCTTACCGTTCACCTCCTCAGTCTTCTCCGCCTCCTGTCCATTCGTCCCGTTGCCGTTCTCCCGACCAACGGGACCAATAGTCTCCCGAGCAACCATCAAATCCTGAGCCAACGCACCGAGGTGAAGCACATCAGCCGACATGGAAATAAGACTCATCCTCTTCGCCGCCTCCCGAAGCTTCTCGGGGCTTCCGTACGGCGGCGCGCAGAACGCGAAGCCAGCGTACGGCTTGTCATGCTTGTCGATCGTATCGAAGAAGAGCTTCGAGATCTCGAGCCACTCGGGCTCGTCGGCGCCCATGCCGCCCATCTTGGCTTCGAGGTTCATGCTGACGCGGCAGTCGAGCGTGCCGAACCAGACGACGTCGATGTCGGGGCACTCTGTGAGGATCGCGTCGAGGTTGCGCACGCCCTCGGCGGACTCGATCTGGATCATGATGGCGGCCTGGTCGTTGACGCACTTGTGGATGTCGCGGTTGGGATCGTAGGGGGTGTCGGTGAGGAAGGGGATGAGGCGGAAGGGGGGAGCAGAGCGTGTGCCGCGCTGCTTGGTGCCGTACTTGGCTGCGGACAGGACGTGCTTGGCCTCCTCTACCGTCTCGACCTGGGGGATGACGACGCTGGCACCGCAGTCGAGGGCATAGCCGATGGCGGCGTGATCGTGGCCGGGAACACTGCGGGATGCATGTCAGCACTAGCTTCACTGTCGCGAGGTGTTTATGGGAACACCTACCGAACCCATGGGATGGTTCGTCCCTGGCTCATGAAGATGGCTTCGTGGACCATCTATCCCCCGTTGATCAGTGAAGTTCGGCACAGGGAGTTGTCGTTCCGGCCGATGACTTACCGATGTCATGGTCTCGACGTTACAGGACGTATGCTCCCAGTCAATCCAAACTGCGTCGTATCCCATAGGGGCAAGGAAGCGTGTGATGGGGAGAGAACTGAGGCCAGCATAATAGCACATCAATGGGGGGATCTTCTTCTCGTGGGCATCGCGAATGGCTTGACGAGCCTTGTGCGGTTGAAACAGGGAGGGCGCCGCGTAGGCATTCATTCCCAGCGTAGGGACATTCTTGTATTCCTGGCCAATGACTGACATCTTGGCTAGTCTGTCCGCTCGGAAGATGGGTGATAGTAGATGAATAGAGTCTCTGGGGTGAGGTATCCAAGTAATGGAAGAGATATCGATGCGTCCAAATGTTGACGAGAAGAGCGGCAATGGTAACTCTTTTATATCACGTTGGATTCATCAAACGTCACATTGCATGCTGCCAACTTGTGGACCTTCAGGGGCCACCAGAGCTTGCCGGGGCTCGCAGTTGCTTTCTCTCCGGCAGCGATAACGTGGAGCTGGACTATCGGTATGTCTTTGTGACCCAGCATTGGTCCTATATGGTGCCCTAGAAGATGCCCCAACTATTGACTTGCTTTGACCTTGTTCGACGAGGAGAGTTTCTACAGCACGATGGATGCAACGACGGGTGGATACCCTACTCTCACGTCAGCGTGTGTCGGCAAAAGAAAGTGTTTGGTCGTTATGCTCAAGCATAAGACTTTGCAAAAGAACAAAGTTCCGTACCCTAGCCGTAAACGCTCTTCCGTACATCAATCCAATGGCTTATTGGGTATCTTAGTGCTTAGTATAGGGTAAAGCAACGGCGATATGGGCGAGCTTCCTAGACGCGGGGAACGCAAGAAGTTGGTGCATTAACCAGACGGTCATTGTTCGAGGGACGTCAATTGCTACCTCTCGGACACGGGCCGAATTGGTCGGGTCCTAACAGCCGGCTGAGCTGGCGTAAGCTTCTACCAGCCTCCAATGACCTTTGAAAGGAATATCATGTTTTTGGCTCCGCGCTAAGCGTTGTCCATCACAGTAGGTCTTACTGCAGGATCATTTACGACCTGGATCAGACAGGGGATCGTATGGACCCTCAGAAAATGTCCCACATGGATATTTTGCCGTCTTTGCTGCCAGCTGCCAGCCAGTGAGCATTCTGAGCTTGCTGGATGCGCCTGTCCTTGACACTGAGCTGCTGTTGTCCTGGACGAGAGATAAGATCGTGGGGAAGCTGATTGGGATCGCTGGACGCGCTTCTGGTTTCATCAGTCCGGGATGTCGCGCCGACACTAGCCAAGGCAACCGCGTAACATCCCACTTGGTGCCATTTGAGAGCTGCCACCTCCTTGAGCGTCTTGGAGGAATACACACGAATCATGGAATCCCAGCCAGCGGTAGCAAAGATGCGTCCGTCGTCCCGAAGGCGTAAACTCTGCTGGCCCGAATGCTTGGTGTTCAGAATCTTCAACGGCTGCTGGATGATGCCCCCACCAATATCGGCGTTAGGTCCCGGATTAGGGCCCGGAATAGGGTGTTTGGCGATTGTTGCATCTGCACCGGAGGTAAGAAAGTAGCCTTGCTCCGTGACGACGTCGAGGGAGAGGATGGGCTGGTTATGGACTTGAGACAAGTAGGTAGTATTCCAAGTCCCACTGCTGAGCTGCAAGACCGTTGCTAACCCATTCTCGTATGCGGCGACGAGGGTCAAACGACCATTGGTGGATGACGGTGCAGACCCGGGTACGTCAACGTACAGCAGGGCTAGGGCCATGACCATGCCATTCTTCTCTGTTGACTTTATTGTGTGAAGTCGCTTCTTGGACGGTAATTCGTAGATGTCGACCTATCACGGATGCACGGGTTAGGTCCCCGGTCTCATGCAGAAGGCCGGGCTTAAAGGCGGAGATAATTGGCGGGGATGGTGAACTGACCGATTCCGACGCCAGAGTGTTTCGGACTGCTAGTAATAAGTTCGAAGACTCGGACGCGTCTTCGCCAGGCAGCGGAGCACATGATGCGAATGAACAGAAATTCATGGTGTTGACGTCGATGAGATGCAAAAGCCAAGGCTGTGGCCGTGGCTCTGCTGTCTCATCGAGAGGTAGCTTCTTGCTCAGGTGAGATTCATCCTTGAGGCCCAGTTGCCAGACGGCAAGCTTATGATCCCGGCCGTGGCTGAGTAGAGTGTGAGAGAGGATCAGCGATGCAGCAATGGAGGGAGGCTCACGTTATTATCCGGTCGCCTCCCCAACCCTTTATCCCCAAAATTGCGTTCTCATGTGGCCTCCATACGGCCGTCGGGCGCATAATGGTGAGGTCCCAGAGGACGACGAAGCCTTCCGCATCTCCGCTGGCTAAACGATCGTTACCGCGGACGAAGGACAAAGCGTGCACTTGGGCTTTGTGGCCTCGAAGGATGGACTTTGGGTGAGGGGTCGATTCTGCCATGGCCTAGATTGTCCGACCTGCGATCTTGTCGCGCGAAAGATCAGAGTGAAAGCGCGGCGATTTGAGATGGCGGAGGAAAAGTCGAAAACAGTGTCTCTAAATTTGGAAACGCACAGTACACTTCTGCGGAAGGAAGGGTCCTGGCCCACCTGCACTCCTCTAACCGGCTTACTTAACGCTGCAGAGGTGAGCCACTGTTGCCTGCCGGAAGATGTTCACAGGATCATGACAGTGCTTCGTCTGATTGCCATGCCATGCCATGTTTTCTCTGCTTTTAGGAATCTGACAATTTGACAAATTTCAGAGATGGCATTTCTGACTACCGGGATTCGGGATACCGAGTACAACAACGGGGACAAGGTATCTCACGTCAGACCTCTGACACATTACTCCGAACCGCCCGTTTGCGTGAGGTGTCGCACTTTGATTCGAGGACGAACTGATGATAATCTACACCCAAGAGCTCGGATCCCACGGCGGCGGATGTTGATATGACTGGCGAGATAAATACCTGATAAGGACCAGGGATATTGTGTGAGGTGAGATATCTTGGCAATTCCGAAATAGAGCCCGTGACGTGGGAAAATGGGAAATGGGCACTATAATTCACCTTTACCGTGAGGGCAAATGCGTGCACAGGCGAGAGAGCGAGAGAGGCCGTAAATGTTTTTCTACTTCGGTTGCGATTGGGGCGTCTGTTTAAAGTTGCCATTACCTATCCACCGCGAGCTGGGGTTATCACGACATGACTCTTGTAAGGCGGAGAAGATCGAGAGGCCCGTGAGGCCCATGTACAGTGTATCCGTATAAGTCGGTTCACGTTGCATCCCCTGCCTCTGTGAATGCCGCAAGTTAGTCACCGTCCCTTCAGTGCGGTATGAGATTTGTCCACTAGAGGGTGGTGGGAAGCGGACGGTGCGGCCGAGTCGACCGAAGGGTCCGGACCGCATCGGATATTATAGATACGAGCGAAGGGAGGTGAGTCGTCGCCCGCTCGGTCCACGTCAGCTTGGAATGAAGGGTCTCTTGTATTTTACCGCGATGCCTAAATCCTGTAGGAGCATGCAACGTGGAGTTGTGTAATGTACCTTGGGCTGAAGGCAAGACACGGTAAGGTACGGGAAGCTTGAGTTACCATGTGTAAGCTATCCAGAGTTGCGGAAGATTCCCAACAGGGCGGGTTGGATCCTGGCGGGGCATCCTTTCTGGTCAGACGGGAACGTCCACAACCAAGTCAGCGGGAATATTTGGCTTGGATGGCACAAAGTCCCTGGTTCTCCGCCGCCTTATCATCTCTCCAGGTGAAAGCTCGGTGTGTCCAGGTGTGTTCGGTGTACCAGGGTTGCTTTCCTGGTGGTGTGCCGGCGTGGGGGGATCTTATTGGATCGTTCCGTCTGTGCCCAAGCAGATTTACGGTACCTGCTCCTTGGGTGCTCCTTCCATTCCAGATTCAGAGGGTTGGTTCTACGTGTGTCTATCCCGGTCTCTTGGTGCCGGTACGTATCACAACTTACGCCATCGCTGCTTACCTCATTTGTATTTGGTAATTGGCCCTTCCTGCAGCCCTCGTAAATCTGACAGACGGCAATCTCTCCGACACGTGCAACGGCAACATTGGCACGCAATTGTCGCCGACGACCCTCTTCCGCCTTACATCCACCCAAGCACCCAAGCCACCCTCAAGCGTCAACTTGGCATCATCCTCAGGGGACGTGTCGGCCCAGTTGGCTTCAAGATCGGCACACCGGTCTGGTCTTGCACACACACTTCGTCTGCTTCAAGTCTGCTCTGTTCCTCCGCATCCCGAGACCCCTTTCCAATGCATCTCAGTCAGTTTCGATACATGAAAACACCCATCATCCGGGTTCACGGAGGACGTTATGATGAATCCATGACCCCAAGTCGGCAAAGTTGCTCCGAACCTAGCGCACAGAGAATCCACCCGTGATGGATGGACTTTTGTGCTATGGTGCTATGGGCGCTGGGCGATTCGCGTCGCAAGCGGCATTCTCGAATTAGCACTGAGCACCATCTCGGCCTAGCAGTCACGGCGGATGAATCATTTTGCCATCGGGCATACCGGTCAAGAGCCTATTCAATGGGAACTGGGTATCCTGGTTGTTCGCCCTAGTTCCTCTCTGCTCCGCACCACTAGGCAATGCTTGTCTGATCAAGCTTATTGAGCTGTCGTTTCTTTTTTCGGTTCTCTCTTCTTTCTCTGTCGTCCCTATTGTTTGTCGTCTCGATATTCTCGAGTACTGAATCACCGGACGAGTCACCGGCAGGCGAACCATCGGGTACACGGTTGCTTTACAAATCAACATGGGAAACATTAGTCCGAGTAGTAGGCACGGGCGCAAGTTTTGATGATGTGGCGGCGTTCAGTGGGAAACAAGCGCAGCCTTATCCGTCTGCAGCATCCAACGAGATGCCTGTGAAACTCGAGCTACTCCCAAATGGCTTGTACCAGGTGTTCGCAAGTGCGTCTCTAGGGGCTCGGAGCGACCCCAAAGAACAATACATTGCGTACCTAGACACCTAGACTGAAGGCTCTGACTCCTCCGCTCGACTAACGCCCACCCAAACTCCGCAGATATGTCGTTATGTCCATTACTTCCACCGAGTCGGCGGAACCGGTACTGCACGCTGCGTAAATGCAGCCCCATGAGCAGAGACAGGGGGGGCGGCTGATGTACAGTAAGCGATGCAACTCCGGAGAACCTGTCTTGGCCTCCAATCTGCCTAAGCAGAGAGCCTCAGAGACCCCCAAGGGATGTTGCGGACTTTCGGAACATTCCAGATCTACGAAA